GCCTGCCGACACCCGCTCCCCTCCCGCCTGCAGTGACCCGGCTCCTCCTGGCTATTCCCAAGCTCTACCCACACAGCTCCTGCACGCCAAGGGTGTGCTCCAGCTGCAGAAAGCAGCACTCACACCCACCTTCAGCAGTGGGCCTGCATGGGCAACACATCCAGCTCCCCGGCTACAGGCTGCCCTGAATGTATGGACCAATGATCCCACCGGGAAGAGGAGAGCCCATGGGCTGTGTTACAGAATGGGAGATGCTGACCTACTCGCCTACATGTGGTGCCTGGAGGGAGGAAGGGGCAGAGCAGAACCTTCTTGCACAAGGTCTGCACTACTGGAGCTCAGGTTCCCTCATACCTTTCCAGGCGTTCGGACACCAGGTACGTCTGGTTGGCATCCATGATGAACATCAGTTGATTAATGAGGTCATCAGCCTGGATGAGACCTTCTAGCCGCCCAACTACCGTCATTCTGCGATCCTTCAGCATAATCACAGCCAGGAATGGGTACGTGTTTTCTCGCAGAGCCTGGGAGACTGGGAAACAGGCACAAACATCACCATTCCTGCCCCATCCTGAAGGGTCAGCAAGGGGTACAGCACAAACACTTTCCATCACCAAGGGCCCAGGAAAGGAGCTTCCACCACCACTATCTCTTCCAAGACAGAAAAGGCCTCATTCTCCATTTGTTAAACTAAACCCTACAAATTAGCAAAGGGAGGAAGTGATTTGGAATATAGAGACTGAGGGTAAAAAATAAAGTTTAAAATAACCTCCTTTAATTCAAGCAGGAAGAAAGTAAACTGCTCTGAATGTCCATTCAGAATGGGACAAAAAGCCCTGGGTTTAAACTGGAGAATGAGAAACACAGGTCACAAGCACAGGGAAACACTTGTGAAGGTGACTAAGGATGGCTGGACTCAGAGATACTGTCATAGGGAAGATGGCAGAGTGCCCATCCTGAACATCCCTGAACAAAATCTGGTTGCTTCTGCCAGAGGCAAGCTCTTGTCTTGAGGCAGGGAACGGAGCAGATCAGGGGCTTTTCAGTTACTGTTGACCTATGGCTGCTGAGCACCTCCTCCTTAAAACATGCATGGCACATCACACAACTCGGAGCTGTCGTTCCCAATGGAGCCCTCCAAACTAAATCAGAGCACCCATGGGTTAAATCAAAGGCCACAATCCCTTCCAGCTCTGCTTTCCAGGCTGCAACTCCAAAGCGCTGCAGCAATGAAACAGCAGTAAGTAATGAGTGTCTCCTTAGAAAGCCATTCTTTCAAGGTGTCGATAGCTGGTAGCTGAACTATGAAGCCAAGAATGTCCCAGATTTAGTACCAGAACTCCTGGCCTCTCCTGCCATGAAACAGGAAGGGTCAGAAGTGACACAGGAGGCATGAACAGAACTTTGGGAAAAGGCTCCACTTGCAGCAAAACCCTACCAAAATGCTGGCAAGTCAGGTATCAACAGCTCTGGAAAGACAGTGCTTAAAAGGACCTCACCATGGACTTCTGAGGAGACAGAGAGAGTGGGTGTGGAGTAAAGATCAGTGTCTCAGAAAGGGAAAGAATGCACCTAACAAGTCACTCCCGGCCTCAGGCATAACATGACTGTTAAGGGCACAGCTAGTTAGATATTGTTTCTGCACTTGGTTTAATCCTCAGCACACACCCACCAACTCCCATCACCAAGGCACTGAAAGCAGCTTCAACGCCTGCAGCAAAGACCACACAACTAGGGCTGCCCAGAAACTTCTGGAACAGTGGAGGTGAAGAGCAGAAGGTATTTCCCTGGCATCCAAACAGGCCCTCTGAGATATCACATGGAAACCAACACGTATTTCCCCATGCAATCCTGAAATCTTGTCTGCTTGCACAAAAACCAACAGTGTGTTTCACACATGTAAATTTGTCAAAGAGCATTTGGCTTGTTCCAGAGACAGAAGGGGACAGGTACAGCCCAGGAGGGACACACTCACCTCTGTAGCCCTCTGGTTTATTGGTTGAGCAAGCCCAGAAGAGCATTCTAGTGTTTATGAGGGTGATCACCTCAGGTACGCACAGTGTGTTGCTGGGGGATGAGAAGAGATCGTGTGAATGAAGCTGCATTTAAAGTGCAAAGGTAACTATTCGGAAAACTCTCCTACCTACCGGCAGAATTCATCTGTGTCTTGGTGGTCATCTCCATGAAGATAAACCAACAGGAAGCGCAGCTCCCGCTTGGCATCGTTCAGTGCCTTGGCATAAGAGCAGAAGAGGTAAAGTCACAGGGTCTCTAGGCCAGGGGAAAGCAGCACCCACAAGACTTGTACCACGGCCACTACTCTGCCACTAGTGTGGTTTTAAACAAGCAGCAGGGGAGGGTGAACCTGTCAGGTCTGACTAAACCCCATTGAAGGGGGCTGCAGTGGTGTTCTCTCACACTCCTTTCAGGGTGTGGCTTTGGAGAACACTGAACTTGGAGCAAAGCCAGGGAGGCAACTGCACAGATTGACACCCCCCACTGCCCCACCAGACTCAGCTGGCAGGGAAGAGCCCTCTTTCATCCCCCAGACTCACAGCCAAGGCTGAGCTTTTCACTCTAACCTGTACAGGACACAATCTTCACACCACATTCAAATGAAAACAGTACTTAAAAAAAAAAGACAACCCAATAATGCTGCAGGCCCCAACAAAACAAAAACACAAACAAAAAACACCAACAAAAAAACCTTTTTGTGTCTACAGTCTCTGGATTCCACCCACCCAAGAGCATTTCTTAACAAGACCACAGGGGTAAGTGCACAATAGGTTCCCTGTTTCACTGGCACTGAGTTTTGGTAGCCTAACCATTCTGTGGTTATTTAAGTTTGGATTCCAGGCAAGACAGAGGGGCCTAGAAATGCTGCGGAGGCAGCAAAGTCCACAGCTGTGCAGCATGGAGCAAACACAGACTCCATATTCCTCCCTGGCACTCTGGAAGCAGGCTGAGAGAAGCTGCCGAAGAGGCAGCACCCATTGGGATGTCCCTCTCACAGAGAACATCCTCAGCCCACATCCAACACGTGGCACTCTCACCTCCCAGAACTTCTACAGGGGATCCTTCTCTCCATTTTGAGGTCCCACACCAAGTTCTGGAGTTGCATTATAATACAAGCCCACCACATCAGTTTATAAAACCAAAGGCAGGATTCCAAAGAATAGCTGCTGGCTACAGAACCACACAGACGGCTGAAGAACACTCAGAGCAGCTTTGCTTTCCAACTTTGCAGGCTTGGTGAATCATCCAGCCTGGCAGACGCTGGTTTCCAATACCCTTGTTCATTAGCTCCCCATTACCCTGCTAGAGAGTTTGGAGACAAATGCTGGGCTTTTGGATGCAAAGTGAGGGCGCCATGTAGGCCCTGATACTGTCTGGAAAAATTCCCACTCTCCATCTCCCCGGGATCTATGCACCAACGTGTGACACTGACCTGGCTGTAAGTTCCCTGGTAGAAGACAGGGTGTATCCTCCCATATTTTTCCTCAAACATATGAATAAACGAAATAATGTCACCCACTGGGTCAGTGACCCGACTACGAGGATCGGGGCGTATAAACCGCAGAGCAAACCTAGGAAGGAAGCAAAGGACACTGGCAATTCAGCTTACTGACTTTCTGGAGAACAGGTTTTTCTTTGCCACAGACAGTCACTGGTATTCATAAAGAGGAAAAAAGTCACAGCTGAGACCCTTGAACACTTATAATCACAACCCAATCTGCCACCTGCTTCAAACCGACACCATTGCTACAGAACCCCTCCTCCCCCCAGTCAAATATCTCATGCCAGGCGTCAGCAAGGATCTGAATTCTGTGTGATTAACAGTTCCAACTTCCTCTGAAGCACCAGGCATAAGCCACACCAACAGTATGAGGTTTGAGGAATTTAGTCCAAGGCAGGCTGTTAAAAGCCACACAGTTTTGTCCAGATAACTTTGAAAACTGCATTTCTGCTATTCCAAGGCTAACAATTCCAGAATGCAAAGTGCTGCAGAAAGAGGACGTTACACTAGGAGTCCAGTGAAGACAGAAGGAACAGTCATTCCTCTGAGGCCAAAGAAGCTTAACTGCAAAGCAGATATCAATGTTGTTTAGCTCCATTAGAAGTCAGACTGAATTTTGGAAAAGTCTTTTAGGAGAAAAAAAAGTAATACAACAGGGGAAACTTCCAAAACGATGCAGATGGCAGCCTGCTGGATATTTACCACCTTTCACCATTCCCTTTTCTATCTGTCAATGCTGTAAGGAGGCAAGATGACCCAACCCTTCAAGACAGTAAAGGGAAAAGAGGCCACAGACACCAAAGGGGAAGAAGTAGAGGTGTTTACAGTTTGAGTTTTGCAAAGTAACAAAGAGATTAGGGCAGGTTAACCTGCAGCCCAACGGGACATGATTCTGATCAAGCTGTTTGTCCAGGAATACTGGGCGGTTTGACACTGATTTGCAACCCCTTTGTGTGGCACTCAAACTGCAAAGCTGCATGGAGTCAGAACTCCAATTAAATATGTAATTTACAGAGCTGCAAGATGCTCTTTTTCTCTGCAATGAGATTTATTTCTTATTAAACCATGTAGGAATGTTACAAGGCTACAGATAAAGCCAGCTGAGCAAAGAAATGGAAAATCTGCCATAAGACTTAAAGATCCAAGTGACAGAGGTACAGCCAAATCAAAGACAGAGCGTGTCTTGATGCAGCCAGTACGTGAGTCAGCACAAAAAGGTACTTACCTAAATATGTCAAGTAATGTGTAATAGGTAAATCGGAATGGAAGCATTATGAAGTAGTAACCCCATCCTAACAGGCCCTGCAATTACAAACACAGAATCAGAACAGTCTCCACCTCAGCAACAGGCCTGCTAAAGCCAAGTGTCCACCAGCATCAAGCACACAGGCACCCGTGGGAATATCCATCCTCTAACCTCTGCAAAAACGCTCAGCAATATTTCATGGCTTCAGACACGTCAAGTCAAATTTACATGATTAACATGGTTCAGTCAGAATTTAACATGATGGGTCTGAAAATCAGTGTCACTGACTATTCAAGCAGCAACGCTTTTGCTCTGAGATAATTTCCTTAACTGTACAAAGGGATTAACAGCACTGAGACTTACAGGTGCTCGTGTGAATTTCCTTGTGAAATGTTAATGCCAGTAACTGATCCTGTATTCAATACACATTTCAGAGGGGTTCTAAGGAAAAAAATCACTATCTCTCTACCATAAGGATGGGACTGTCCTTTGTTCCAACTGAACTGATCAAAAAATCTTTGCTATGCCACAGCAAGACATTCTATGACACAAAGGAGGTTGTCTCATACTGTGAATCACACCATGGAGAAAACATCCACAGTAGTAACAGAGGCTGAGGGAACAGCTCTACATTTTGTTTTCAGAAGATAAAATATTTAGAAAGGAGGTAACAGCACACAACAAAAACAATTGCTTTTCCTGCGTGCAACTTGTTGTTCACAAGGAGTCACCCAAGAAGCAGGACAAAATCTGCTGTAAGATAACTTGCCCTTGGCTGTGGCCTTGAGACAACGTAGCTGTAGATCCTATGGTCAGCTGTATTGACCTGCAACGGCCGCGATGGAGGAGGATTGAAGACACTTGGGACACCCTCTTGCTCATTCAGTCGGTCCTGCACAGCTGCCTTTGGCAGAAGAAAGAGCAAAGGGAAGTTTCAGACATTTAAGGATGGCAAAAAATACCTTTTTTTATATACTTTGGACACTAACAGTATGTATTATTTGTCCACAGTCCCAGAGCACTGGATGAGCACAGCCCATTAGGAACTGTAACCATCAGCACTCGTTTCTACTCGTTCAGCCTTCGCCACGGCAGCCTGCACACACACACCACGGGTGTCACACAACGTGCCAGTGAAGTGACAGTTCACAGCCCCAACAACTCTGCCCTGTACTTCTGAAACCAGCTCTCCAGGTGTATCAAGATGCTGCTATAAGGAGCTACTGCTGTAAATTCAGGGGTTGACATTAAATCTTACTGGTAGCCCCCCCTCCCCACCCCCACAGGTTACTCTGTTTAATCCAGGTACTTGGAAACAACAAATCTTATTTGCAGTGGTACCTCTATGTTCCAGTTGTGCTGCTCCAGCGTGTGACGACATTGGTCCATGGACTCTATGCCAGTCAGGTCCTACAGAAGGAGAATAAAAGCAGTTGAGTGCCAGGGAACTGCTGTATTTTTACTGTTCTTTGTGACACGTGAGCACAGACAGGAGTTACCGTAACACATTACCACAATATTGGGTTTTTAAAGTGTTCTGCTCGCAGCTGAGGAGCAGAGCAATCTGAGCCAACCCAAGTCTGTAAACAAACCTCAAACAGGCCTTTGCACTCTTCCAGCATTAGCCAATTTTCACCAGTGCCCAAGGTCTGTTACTACAACTGCACTCGGCCCAGTCAAGAGTCTATAACGTGACACTGCCCACAAGCTTCACACTGGAAGGATATTCTGATACCCTCAAACATCACCTGAAAGCATCACCTTAAGAGATGGGTTTTCAGAAAGGCTTTGCCTAAGATGACCGTTACTTCACTCACTGCAAGCACAGAGAGTAAAAACACAATGAGGCAGGCACTAATGAAGGCAGTGCCTTCACTTTTCCAACATCATGGGGATTCTCTAGTGAAAAAAAAAAATTCAGTGTAACACAGACAGGACTTGAAACAACAGACAATCCAAACACCCCAGCAGACCTCAAAGCCACTGGGCTCCCACATCAGTGTTTGGGAACGTGTATTTTAACCCCTTGCCAAACTGAACTTCTGCACAAGAGAGCAAACAACTGTATTTGTTGTTACAGGAACCCACATCAGCACCTCTTGAATGGAGACAAATCTTTGCTGAAGGGAACGTTCCTGTCACTGTGCCACAGAAGCACACCACTGGCTGCCAGGTGTTTGAACAGACATTTCAGGGTTGTGCAGAGCCAGAGCACGCGCTTCCACAGGACAGCACAAAGCCACAAATGTGCTGCTGCTACCCTTTTAGTAATCCTCTGAATCCATGAAAGACCATTACAGGTGACACCACTAACAATGCTGGCAATGATGAAGGAAAGTATTGTTATTTTAAAATTAAAAGGAGTAAAAAGGTTGGGTTTTTTAAATAACTGGGCTACAGGAGCAAGAAAGCAGTTATATCTTCAGAAACAGTTATTCAGCTGGGATACAAGATGGCAGAAGCAGTGACAATAACTGTCACAAGCAGTGTAACAAACTCAACATTAAAATGTGCTGGTGACACAAGGAGACTGTTGAAATAGGACCATTTCTCCAGCAAGGTCATTCTTGACAAGAGAACTCCAGAGATTCTTCATGCTTCATGTCCTCACCTGGTGGTTTTCTCCCAGCCAGCTGGTGTAACACCTCCCGGGGCGGCTCGGGGGCTGAAGCAGCTGCTCTCCCAGCAGACTGCTGCAGCTGGGACTGCTGGGGCCTGCTGACCCACAGAGGCTGTGTGAGCTGAACACACCAGAGCCTGACCCATCCTACACGCTCTGCTCTGCAGCACCCGTGAGGATCCCAGCCGTGCAGGAGTCCGGCAGGGCAGGGAACTCTCGCTCCCTGTGTCTGTCACACAGCAGAGCGCAGCTTCTCTGCAGGAGGCAGCTTGTGATGAACGTAAATCCTTGCGCGTGGTTTCCATCACACCTTGTGATCAGTCCATTGTTAGCAATCCTATTTAATTCTGCTCATCTCCTCTGTTTCTTGCTTCATTTAAAAGCCCCTGAGGCAGTCTCGACAAGCTGACCGGTTAAGAATTCACTGAACTGGGTTTTTACTGGAGAAGGATGGTGCATTTATTCCCTTCCCTGCCCCCACTCATACATTCCACATGCTATTTTCACCCATGTCACACTGTGGACAAACACTCTATTCAATCTCTGGGCTCAGCTGAAACTTTGGAGCGTTTCTTGGCTTCTTTCTCATTAAGTGTCCACAGATCTGCACCTTCTCTCCAGTCTACTGGGTAAAAATCATTGTTTCATTCTGCTGTACAGACCCTGAGTGTTCAAAGCATTGCTGACATTAACTGTGTGATTGCAGTCGCTCAGAAAACAGCACTTCAAGTCACTGCCCAGTATAAATATTTATTTAAAATTAAGTCTGCAGCAAGCTTTGCACGGGAGCACTACAGGAGTGAATTTCATAGAAGTGAAGCTCAGTGAACTCAGCTGCTGCTGCCAGAATATTTTAATTTATCACTCAGCTTCACTTTTTAGTGTTTCAGTTTAACCATCTTTCTTTAAAGATGTGCTTCACCGAGTAAAATGTAAGTTTTGTATTCTGTTTTTTTTCACCCCAAACTCCTACAGAAGGCACTTCATTGTCCTTTTGGAAGGACATCTTAAAAGGCACCTGCAATTTACTGAATTATTTGATTTTACAGTGAAATCACAATGTGTGTACTTCAAAGCCTTCAAAGTTTTCTAATCACCCTTCCTTTATACCCTGGAAATTCTGCTGGTGTTTGCAAAACCTGCAAGATGCAGAAGCTCATTCAGACCTTTGTCTCTGAACGTCTGGATTATCGCTCAGCACTAATAACGTGAAGTGGCTTCACGACTGAAGATTCTCTCCTTTTTAAATTATGCAAAAGGCTTTAGCAGTTTTAGGTCAGAAAGCAGCCAAAGTAACAGCCACGCACAACTATCAACCAGCCTGTAGTGAGCACTGAATCGCTGCAGCGTCTGCCAGACCTGCGGAGCTCCAGAGAGAAACCACAGGGCAGCAAACATCTCCCCTTCCCCACCACCGCCACAGCCACAGGCAGGCTGGGGGTCAGACCTCAGTCCTCTGCAACAACACTTCTCCGGGGAGGTGAGTCTGCATCTTTTCTTCTCAGAGTTGTGACAGTTTCACTGGGCCAGCCCTTGGCCAGCAGCCAACACAGCCATTCACCCACTTCCCACCCCCAGGGGATAGGGGAGAGGACTGGGGGGCAAGGGTAAGGAGGCTTGTAGGGTGAGATAAGAACAGTTTAATAATGGAAATAAAAGAAAACTTAAAATAATACTACTATTAAAATAGTAGTGCTAATGATAACAGTAACAAAACATGCAAGTGAATGACACCCAATATTATATCTCACTCCCCTCCTGACCGAGCCCGGCCTGTTCCCAGATAACGATCCTGGAGGAGCAACAATCCCAAACTGAAACCACAATCCCGAAGAGCAAGAGCCCGAGCGAAAGGCAGAGAGAGCTGAAAGAGGGAGAAACCCTCACTAATATACTGGACATGAGGTGATAGGATATGAAATACCCCATTGGCATATCTAACTGTCAATTAAGTTTATTAATTTAAATATTCTCTCCCCCCCCTCCAAATCTTGTGCTTGTGGACTAAGAACACAAAGTCCTCCACTTCCAGTGACACAAATGCAAACACTGGTACATTTATCAGTATCTCTCACAGCGAGTCCCAGGCTGGAAACTAAAACACCACTCTTCTAATGGCTAAACAGGAACCCAGCTCTATCTCAGCTAAAAACCAGGACAAGCGTCTTAACACAGTTGCTCTCAGCACGAAACAGAAGTGACAAACCCACCCCAGCAGCACCGTGTGCGGAGCTCCCACCACTCTCCTCATCAATGGAGCTGCACAGTTAGATATTGCAGTAAAAATATTGCCTGTGTGAAAGCAGCTTCTAAATCCAAAGACCCTTTTGAACGTTACTGTGACGTGCTCCACAAGACGGACACACCGCAGTCCCAGGACGGTCGGAACGACCCGCTCGGCGTAAGGAGCTGCGGGAAGACAGTTCAACTGCCAGTTCAGACAGCGCTTGCTGGCAAACACCGATACTGCTCGCTGTCCTCCAGCCACCATCCACACCGTTATCTCAGCACCTTCTACAGCCACTGCCTCACCTCGGGCACAGGGACAGACTAGAAACTCGAAACAGCACATCATTTCCACTGCATCAGCTGCAGCGTTTCTGGTGAGCCCTGGGACTGGCTGCTCACTGTGTTATTCACCTGCCAGACAAGCGCGTTCTCAGCGTGGTTAAGGCCAAGAGAACAAACACCATCTCCAAACCAGTCTGTAACCACTAGGTTCCTCCTCACTGCAGTCTCCCATGAGCTCCTCAGAGAGCATACATCTTACACAGACACAGCAAGTAATAAAAAGATAAGCCCCCTCTGTAGTTAAAAATAAAATTAACCCCATTGAACTACAGCCCTCAAACCTTCAAATAAATGTAGATCCAAGCTCAAGACAGTAAACAATACTGAGAAAACAAAATATTCACTATTAAAAAAAGCCAGGAAAGTTAAACATTGCCTTCTCAAACAAAGCAGAGCACTCTGCAAAAATATCAAACCTGCTGTTGGATACAGTTATTTGAATCTCTCACCTTTGAGACTGCTCAGAATGCTAAAATCTTCCCAATCCTGAAGCAGTGGAAAGTGCAATTCCACGCTTCAAAGGCAGAAGGAAGATCCCGAGTGGACAAAGGTTGTAAACTGGACTTAAGAAACTGTTCCCTCTGCAGATAGGTTCCTATGTTGAGATACAGCACAAGAGAAGCAAATCCACAGGACTGCACCTGGCACTGCTCTTAATTCCCAACCCACTGCTGAATGCCAGAGAGTTACGTTTCCAAGGGTAAAGAACATCTGACTTCAGGCAGCAAAAGAGACTTCACCAAGAGAGCTGCTCTTTGCTTATTACAGCAAACGCTTTATGAGGGTTTTAATCAATATACACAAGTAGGAAGGATGCCTGGAGCTCCTTGTTCCCTCCTTCTGTTTTAAAGGAGGGATGTTTTCAGTCCTGAGCATGTTCTTTCCCCCAGTTGAAGTCAGAGATGGCATTGCGAGTGATAACTGTCTCCTCTGCTAACAACACCCTGTTACTCCACATTAGCATATTACACTGACAGCAGCCTAAGCACAACGGGCACAGATCAATAACGAGATCCTGCAAAAGCTGCTTTGCTGTTTCTTCCATCTCCCAAATGGAACCGTATCTCCAGAGCTTGCTTAAGCCGTGCACAGCGAGTTTCTCTCTACAGACAGCCAAATCATGACAGATGAAAAATGTAAGTGCTTTTATTCCTTTACATTAGCCAATGCTTCAACAGTACATGGGAGGCTGAAAGCAGGCAAGAGTGCTTTGCTGCTTTT